AAAATTAATTATAATATGGATTGCATTGAATTTAAAACTTTTGTTAATAACAATCCCAATTTATTAAATGCTGTAAAATCAAACACTAAATATAAATTTAAGCAATAATTAAATTGTTAATTTCTATAATATTTATTATAATTCTTTGAAATTTTGAATAAAATTTTTGTTCTCTATTTGTTCTCTATTTTCATACATAATTATGCAAAATGTGCTTTTTTTAATGGCAAGGAGGTGGTCACACTAATTATAAATGATATTTGTTACATTATTAAAACTTTAGATAATAAATTACCATAGAAAACCTTATTATTTATTACATAGTAACTAAAGTTACTTACAGTTAATTTAATATACAAAGCTTTAATGTTATTTCCGTTTTATTTAAAATAATTTTATCGATAGATTTAACGCAATCTCTGCTCAGAAAACAATAACTAATTCATGGATTACTGGATATCAATATATGATATATTGTTATACATATAGTCTTGATATACAAACCCATAGAAACAAATGGGTTATCGTTATTATACCCATAGATATATCGATATATTTTTGTACAGAATATTCTGTTTATAGGCAAAACACATATACAGAATATTCTACATGTTCTGTGTTTTTATTATACAATCATGTATTTCAATATATTTTTATTTGTGTTGTTTTCTGTTTCGCTGGCAAATATTTATCGTCCGATTTTGCTTTTGAAGCACTGAGAAAAAAATAAACTTTTATTTTTATTGTTTTTTGCATTTGTTTTGTTGCAAAACTTTTCTTTGTGTTGCATTGAAAATACAATATAAAAAACTTTTTTCAGTTTCCGATTGTATATCTGTTTTGCTATTTTCTTATCGTGTGTTTCTTGTATTGAAAAATACGGCAAAATTTAATTCATTTTTTCAATCAAATAAGATTTATATGATATAGTCGTGAGAGAGAGAGAGAGAGAGAGAGAGAGAGAGAGAGACTGATAGAAAGTTACATTGAATTTGTTTGAAAATTTAAAGCAATTCCTGTTTCTCAACAAATAATAAAAAACAAAACATTTTGATTCAAATCATTTATTATTGTTATTTATTACTGATTGAAAACTTTGTTGCTTTTTATATATTGTTTTTATTATGAAAAATGCAAACTTTGAAACAGTATTTTAAATAATGATCTCTTTGGCGTATATACACATGGTAACGATCAGAATATGGTAAATTTAACAATAATCTACTTTTGCCTAGTTAAATTAACCTTGTACAGTGCAACTTCTCCATAATGAACGGCCAGTTGTACGACAAAAGTGTTCATTATAGGGAGGGTTCATCCAAGGGAGGTTCGAGTAAAAGTGTCTTATTTTTAATGAATATTTATAAATAATAGCAATTATTGAAAATAATCAGTAATTTTAGCTTGTTTAGCTATATTTAAGTGACAATTAAATGTATTAGTTTTAATTTAGTCCAATTGTTCAAGTATTTGAGCATCGGATGCGTCTCTAAATATAAAGTAATAATTTAAAGTTCACTAATCAAAGAATGAATACACATCTCTTACAATATTGAATGAAACTTGATATAAAAATGTGATTTTGTTTGCTTAAAGTCTTAGATTAGAAACTATTTTGAATACATTTGGGAATGATGTGCTTATTATTATATTTGTTCATTATGGGGAGTGAAAGTTTTATCTTAATCTCTATAAATCCGTTCATAATGGGGAGGTATTCATTATGGAGAAGTTCACCTAAGGGAGATTATTTTAACATTATAAGTATAGGAAATCCAACGTAAATTTCAAATCAGTTCATTATGAGGAGGTGTTCATCCAAGAGAAGTTCACCCAAGAGAAGTTGCACTGTATAACTAAGATTTTACATATATATTATGGATATGTGGATAAGTCGTTCCAATGATTTATTATAAATATTGTAAAAATAGTTTTATTGATTAGTTTTATAAATAAGTTAAGCCAAAATTAATTACAATTTTAAACATATACTTTCAATTGTATTTGCATATTTGAAAACAATATAAAATTAATTGTTTTAATCGTTTATTAAATTCCGGGTTTTCAATAAGGTATAAAAAGAGGCATTTATTTATTAAATTTATTCATTCAGTAATTTGAATACAATTTATAAATTAATAATGAATTGTTTGATTCAATTAGTAATCGTGTCTTTGAGCATCACTTTTGGTACGTTTTACTCATATATAATCATTTATATAATATAAATGAATGAATGATTTTGTTTCAGTGGTTTGCGATCGAAAGGCAGACATTCAGTGTCTTAAGGAGGGATCAAATGATTTGAAGAATAAAACAGAGCAACAACTCTATGATTTGAGTCAAACTAATCTCGAGATCGGACAGGAATTGGTGCTCAAGAGGGCTGATATCGCCAACTCTGAGGGTTTGACGTGTTATTACCAGTTCTACCAGAATTACACCCAAGGGTTGGCCAATATATTCATGAAACAAAATGAAATCAATCGACTCAATACCTCCCGAACACCCGATGAGAGAGCGGGTGCTGTGAAAGGCATTGCGTCCATAACTAAAGCCATGAGATGTGACGAGTCGTGGAGAGCCATACACTTCAATGAAACCATAAATGAAGCCAAATGTTCCCGATTTGAGACCGCATTTGGATTGGATTTAATCCAATTTAAGCCAAAACTCGCACTTTTGGAAACCGGTCTCGGATTTGGAGATTTGGCCCTAAAATTCAAAAACAATGTTATGTCAGGAATTGTTGGAGACGTGAGTTTTGAATCACATTTTATATTAATTTTTTATTAACAAATGACATTGATTCATTTATTAGATAAGTAAACTCTTTGGAAAAGTCTACACCGAAGCTGAAAAATGTTCACTAAAACTAACAAATCCTAAGCAAAGTTGTCATAATTTGAAAATGTTTGTCAAAGAAATCGACCGCCTGTTCTACCTTGCTGAGATCGGCGTTTTGGCACTATTTTAATCTCAATTCAAACAAACAAAACATTGAATAATTACTGTTAATGTAAAATTAAAATTTTAATCAATAAATAATTTGTTTCAAGCATTACATTATTTTAATGCCATTTTATAATAATTAGAGTATAATGTAATCAATCTAGACTCTAGACTTGTAGTCCAGTTATTAATTACAAACTTTTTATCAGATTTTACATCTCTTGGATATAATTGAATTTAATTATCATAACAATTACATCCAAACTAAGGGAAATCAAGGACATTTATATTTGTAGTAACTTTTCTGATATGGAACAAGCAACATTTATTGTACTGTATATTAAGGGAATCATTAAAAATGTTGATGTTGATGTATTTGACATTATTTAAACGTATAGTTTTTAAAATATAACTTTACATTAAATATAATTAATAATTCATTTATTTTGATAAAATATTATTTAATAGGTTATAAAGCATAGAATTGTGAAATTAGTGAAAGATTGTATATCTTGTTTGTCTTATTTAATTCAATTTGATAAATGTATTTGTGTTTTAATGGGATTAAGTGATAGTTATTGATAAACATTTATAGAATGGGTATAAATAGTGAGCGATATTTATTTGTTAATTAACAACACTGACTGACGACAATTGAAAGAGAAATTTCCAAAGGCATTAAGTATCCAATGTATTTCCTATGGACAATGAGTATTACTCTATTACTCATTGTCCATAGGAAATTCATTGGGTACTTAATGCCATTTGGAAATTTCTCTTTCAATTATCAGTAGAAATGTTTTCATTAAAACTTTTCTCAATTATAACATTACTAGCAAGCATAATGCCCGTTTAAAACTGGCGCGTTTACTTATTTTAGCCAATCGTTTGACATTTGGATACAGTTTGTACACAGAGACTGTTTCCCACACCCACCCTCTCCTTCTACTCCCCTCTATGTGTTTTAAATGCATATTGTAAGTCCCCACCCCTTATAAATGTAACGTTTAGCGTATAACATTATGCGTGATCTCGATGCACTTGTCTTATAATACTGATTTTCAATATGTCATTCAATTGATCCAAACAGTAATCGCTTGGATTGTGTTATTTCGAGTCAGTATTAACTAAATATTTTATTAGTTATAAAACTTTTACATAAACTGTTATTTCATAGATAAAAAATTTAGCGAAACTCAATGTAGAGAAAGAAACTGTATTTACAATCCTATCAAAGATAAGCCGCAAATTCCTTATTGTTATTTCAATGGAGCAAAACTCGGGTATAAAGTGGACACGACTTCAATCAAAACAACTGATTTTGGTTTTGAAGCCTCACTTAAACTCAAAGATACGGCAAAAGACACTAAATTTGTGA